GCCTCCGCATCCACTGTTTGATCCATCGTTTGATCGACAACTGTCTGGTCGTCGTTGCCATCGTTGCCGCCACTCTTATCTTCGGCCAAATCTATATTAATATCCATCGCTTCGATCAGTTGTACGCCGGGACTCATCCCCTCCACAGCCAACGGCTCGCTATTGAATAACTTAACGCTAAAGCGATGGGAAATCAGGTGACGATAAAACCAAAAATTAACACATTTTTATTATCGCTTAGAAATCGTAATAATCATATCAATTGATAATCAAAATTAATTTCAGAGAAATAAAACTAAATAATTTCTCACATATTATACGCTCTTTTAAGATAAGATTTGAGAAAATGATTTTTAAAAACACATTAAAAAGCATTTTACAAAAATCCAATTCAAACTAATGTTTCTAATGACAAAAAACATAGGGTTAAAAACGCATTGAGATAAACGCACCCATCGTTTATGAATTGCCGGTGCGCTGAGGGCTGGCTGTGAATAATTAGCTTCAGTTTGGATTCATTTGTATTCTGGATGAGGACGTTGTCGGCGCCCGTCTCGGCCAGCGTTGACCACTGGCCGCACTCCGAGTTATGGATAGCCTTTAAGTCACGCTTCGGTTGAGTCGGGCCGCGAGTGTCGGCGCCCTTTCGTGGCATAAATACGTGCCACCAACGGGTCGGCCCCTCCGCCAGCCCAACACCTCCCGGGGCCTCACGTTCGTAGCGTTGGTAGCATTTAGAGCATCCGTCACAGGAATTGCTGTACGATATGCTCACCCCTTCCACTGCCGTCAGTCTCTGTATTTGATTTAACACTTCATTGCAATTATCAATCATTTGTATCATTAATCATAAAATACTTTAAAACTCGTCTCTCTTTAAATGTCTAATTATTTTATACTTTTTTGTTATTTCAATTAAAATAAAGTTTCAAATTATGAAAAACCCTTTTTTCTCTAATGAATCTAATGAACAATTAGAGCTGAAAATTAATTTATAATTACTTTTTTCACTGTAATTAACAAAACTAAAAAAAACTACAAAACGAGAGTTAATTACGACAAAACAAAAAACAAATAAAAACTAAATTAAAATAATTAACTAAAACTATAAAAATCACATAAAATAAGACTCACTCTAAGCGTATTGAAAGCGAAAGCCAAATACGGCTTGAGATAAGCGCCCAAATACCAGTACCCGTCGGCCACAGACAGTGTGTCCCGAAGTCGGCCGCAGTTGAACTCTTCCAACGCGAACACCGGCCGGCCTTTCGTGCCCTCAATTCTCATCACATCCACCGGTTTTAACACTTCACGGATGGCAGAGAGGGTGCACTCGGCTAACAGTCTTCGCGAGAGAGAGACAATACAAACCACTCATATTTACCACAAGAAATCACAAAACAAATACAAAAAACACTCACTCGTAAGGCTTGAGGTGTTTGTCGCGGACACCATTCACGTTGACAGCGATGGTATTGCGGCGGCCGACCGGCAGTATACCGATCGGGTACTGATGGACACCCGGGCGGCCGTCTGTGCGCCGCAACAGACCGGTCACCACTTCGTGAACTGTGCCGTTGCCGCCGGCGATCAACACGGCGTCCGTGTTGTCCATGATCTCCATGAGGTCGCGCGCCTGACCCTCCTCTTCGGTCACCACAACACTGACCCGAATGCCCGCCAAATGCAGAAGTGGTGCACAATATTTATCGT